TCAGGCTCTCAAACTGTTCCCGTAGCAGGCGGATTTCCTCCCGGATAATAACATTTACCTCCAGCACTAAATCCACAACTGCAGAGTCTGGAGTAGRGGCATAATCATGATCTGAATGTCTAGTCTATATARGTTAGCTTCCTRCTTGCTGTCCTCTGGAGGTGGTCTTTGCTCTCTCYGGTCTTGGCAGTGAAGTGGGTAATTGTCCAGTTTCCTTTTTGAATCTGACGCTGGCTCTTGAATATCCTCAGGTTTGAAATGCAGACTACAAACYTGWGTGRGAYCTWTTATAGCTAAGTTTTCCCTGCAGATAGCCACATTTCATTGTTATTGCCTTAACTCCTCGTCAAGAGGAATACGGAGAAAAAGTAACTACTCTATAGTACCTGCCGGTCAAAGGCACACCACAGAACTCAAGTTTTATACCAGTAGCTCGCAGATGCTTTCACTTTTAAAACTTTTTCATAGTCTAGTTCTAGGAGCTAACGCTAAAAACAACGCGCAGTAGGCAGGTCCTGGAAGTGATGCTTGTGGCCTGAATTTTAACGGAAGTACTTCACTAATAGCTGTGGCATATAGGCTATAGAATAGACTAGAATTCAACTTTATTGTCATTGCACATGTCACAAGTACAAAGGAACGAAATGCAGTTTGCATCTGTGCAGACTGCTTAGCAAGAAATATAAATATATACAGTATATATTACACACGTGCAGTAAACTGTGTGAATATGCTGTAACTGTGTGCACATAGAATAAAGATTTCTACCCCAAACAGAGGCACCTCTTCATGTAGTGTATGAGCAGTTTACAGTCCCTTTGAATTTTAAAATTCACTGTGTAGCAGCTCTGAGAGCTTCGTCCTCTGAAGCTGTTTTGAAATATTCACTTTATTGAAACTGGTGACCAGTGCTAAAAAATGTGCTATAAATGTATGATTGTTGCTGTTATTAGCAGCTGAAAAGGCCAGGGTCAGTCATGGAGTTTGATTCCAGTCATAGAAGTGAAGAAAAGGAGGAAGGGATAGATGAGGAGGGAGAGGAGGAGGAGATGTAAGAGCAGAGAAGGAGATTGAGGAAGAGGAGGAGAGGGAGCAGGGCCCACAAAAAACAGTGCCAGCTCCTTCGGAGGTTGTTTTTCATTTACATTGATTTCTATGAAAAGCTGCTTGTTTAATAAGCTTTTACAAYCTGATTTGTATTTTTATTTGTAGGCCTATCATTGAACACATAAGCTACARACACACACAGTGGTTTTGATTATAGAAAGAACAGTGTTTATATAATGCAAATCAAGCAATCATGTTAAAAATCAGGTATTCATGTTAAAATGATGGTTTCACTTGCATCTGTCATGCGATCAGATTAAAAGGCCTCTACAAGCTCCCAAGCTGAATTTAAACCTCAGCCTCTCCTGACATTGAGTGAAAAATGTCTGAATTACCTTGTGAAATTTTTCACTGAGCATAAATCATAAAATGCTTTTCATTGAATTCAACAGTTACTCTAAACGTAACATCTGATCAAGAAGATGTTTAATACTGATGCATTCAAACTTTAAATCTGACACAGTTCCATAAGTAGTTATTAGTCATTTTCTAGTGCAGGATGTAGCCTACAGGATGCAGGAACGGGTGAAACTCCCCAACACCACCCAACCCTACCACTGAGCTGTCCAACCCCATCCCCCAATCTCACTCTTAGGTTTTTTGAAAAGTTGGCAGCCCTGATATGAATGAATCTTTGACTTGTATTTACAGTAAGAACGGAGGAATCTTTTTACTGCTACCTTCCAACAATCATCAGTTCCATCTCTGAAGCTTTGGGCCGGGCTTTGTGGTAAAGGTCCAAAGTAAATAAAGTGGAGCTGCTGTTGAAAATGGAGGTCAGAGATGACATCAGAGCAGCTAAAATTACTGCTATCATCAGACCACGAAGTCCTGTAAGGAAATCAAAAAATAGTATTATCATCATACATGATCAGTAATAATAATAATTGTAATAATAGCATTTGATTTGAAACTGCCTGCTAGGCTTAAATGAAGGTATGTGGGACTGATCCATTCTGCAGCCTCAGCACCATCACAATATTCTACACAGTCAGTTTATGTTCTGCACACATCTGCTCAGTTACTCACACAGATGTTCAGCTGAGAACTCGGTGCCAATGACGGATGTCATGGCTGATCAGGTAGGTTATTAACGACTTTTAACCAACAGACAAAATACTTCACAGTTGACTGAATTCTTTCTTTCATAATGATAGATAGTCTGGTAAAAACCAGACCCTTGTCCTTCACTTTGCTTCGTACGAGGGTCTGGACTCGCGGCTATAGAGAAG